TAACACTGATCACGAGCGACTAATGTAATTAGGAATACAAATAATAGAAGAGAGTAGAGATGGAGCAATATGAAGTAATATCGAGTGAGGGGGAACTAATACCCGCAATGACCGTACCCAGAGGGTAATGTTTATAAAAGAGGGTATTGTTTGCCCCCAGCGCCCCCTCCCCGGCCAGTTCCCGGTAATGAAAACCCTGTTTACCTCGACGTCAATCCTCCTTCCAGGGTATTTACCGCCTTTCCAATATGTTTTATTGTACTTGCCTCTGCAACGTCGATACTGCTGAATCGATATGGATTAACAAAATTTGCATCTCGTTCATCTCAGATATCGTCGAACTTGGTGGACATTGGCTCGACAGCACCTAAGGTCTGTTCAATATAAGGAGATTTCCGAATAGTATATTACGGTATTATCATTAACTAATATACCCACCCTATTATATATAATGTACCTTACCTGGGCTGTTTGTCGGAGTCAAGGCTAGTGTTGCCCAAATGCGAGACCGAAACGAGTCTTGATCTTGCTAACTCAGTCTTGGTCATCTTCTTGGTCTTGCGCAAGAGTCTCGCAACAGTCTTGCAGTTACCAATCAGCTTATTACTTATAAATATTACTTTAATTTTTTAGATAGGAGAAACCTAACTAAGCCCGAATGAAAAATTAGAGGAGTTAAATGCAAAAGTATATTGGTCATACCAATTATTAACATATAATAACTAAAATTTTCGAGTATTAGTAACTATTTTGCCTTAATTTTTATTTAAAAAATCTATTTTTTTGTTTACCAATCCTAGTCTTGGTCTTGCAAAGTCAGTCCTGGTCATCTTCTTGGTCTTGCGCAAGAGTCTCGCAACAGTCTTGCAGTTACCAATTAGCTTATTACTTATAAATATTATTGTAATTTTTTAGATAGAAGAAACCTAACTAAACCTGAATACTTATATCAATTATTTGCATATAGTTACTAAAAATGTCAAATATTACTAACTATTTTGTCTTAATTTTTATTTAAAAAATCGATTTTTTTTTTATTCAGTCGTGGTGCACAGTGCAAGAACAATTGGTCAGTTAACAGTCTTTCAGTTACTTATTAGCTTATTAATATGGAGATATTACTGTATTTTTTTAGATAGGAGAAACCTAACTAAGCCCGAATGAAAAATTAGAGGAGTTAAATGCAAAAGTATATTGGTCATACCAATTATTAACATATAGTAACTACAATTTTCGAGTATTAGTAACTGTTTTGCCTTAATTTTTATTTTAAAAATCTATTTTTTTGTTTACCAATCCTGGTCTTGATCTTGCAACAGTTAAGTCGGCCTTGGTCTTGGTCTTGCAAAGTGCAGAGGGTAAGACCAATATCAATTTTGGGCAATACTAGTCAAGCTAACTTTTTTATCAAAATTTGATTCCAGTACTTTATGTATTCTTTGCAATATCACAAACGATTTATCGAATAAAATAAAACAGATAGGATAATTCTAAAAAGATTAAACCGAAATGCCATAAAAATAATTTAATAAAATGGTCACCCAATGAAGTTCCTGGTGTCTACATGATAATGGCCGAGTGTGCCATAAAAAGGACTTTCTACCCATGGTTGGTATAACAGCATATAAATTAAAGTCAAAATATCTCCCTCTTCCCCTGTTGTGTTATGTGTGATTTAAGAAATAATAATTATTTCTGGTTTTATTAATTTATTTTTCATAATAAAAATTATATTCGCCTTTCTACATAACTATATTAATATCTGACCTTTTACTACTAGCCATCAAGACATGAGCTCAAAACCTAAGGCCTCTAGAAATAATAGATCTGAGACTGCTTTCTCAGTAAAATTGAAAAACGATGATGTATTTGAGTCGAGAAAGTCATAATTAATATAGGTCTGTTTAAATTAAACCTAAATACATTGCGGCACTCTATGAAGCATCAAGTAACTTAAGTTCTTGTGACGCAGAATACATAATATTGCGGAATCAAAGAAAAAAAAAAAAATAATATGAAAAACGTGACATGGATTCCGTCATGCAGATAATTTACGTTGACACATCCCACAGGCAAGGTCATAAGACGAATTAGTTTAAATTAGTCATCACAAAACAATTTGTTTGCAATAAACAGATAACGGAAATGAAAATAGTTCCAAAAAGCACTGATCATAATTTTTCAAGTGAAACTCCTTGCCGAACACACCTCCCTGAAGAAGACCTGCAAAGTCGGGTCGAAACGTTGGCTTTGTATAAAATAGTTTAGCCACTATTTAGTCTATTTATGACCGCCACACTGGACCATCTGCTTCCTTATTTGATTTAAATTATAATAAAGTTATTTAAAGTAAACATCGCACCAATATTATTTTATTTTATAGAATAATATGACCTTGTATTATAAATATTTTCTATAAAACAATGTTATATTAGGGTATATGGATACACACTGTAGGTACAGATAATTTTCGATTTGTGCATCACAACTGGGAAATAAGTACTTATGTTTATATTTGAGAATAATTGCATCTATGATGAAAAATCATATCATCAATAATTAAGGTATCATCTGATTTCACATAAGATGTCGTAAAAATGAATATTTTAAGCCCCTAACTCAATAAATATTGTTTTTACACAGAAAAGAACATATCCTCTGAAATTCAATATATCTTAGAAGTTCAAATGACCGTAATTCTGAAACTACTTGTTAGAATTGAGTAAAATTTGAATTTCTTTTTATCAACGAGGTCTCTTAATATTTACATTTTTTAAATCAAAATCAATGAAGGTAGGGTGCCGAAACGAACTTCGGTTGAATGGATGAGTTGGCATGGAATGGCCCAAAATAAATTATTAAATAATAAATTTAATTTTTGAAAATAAAGACTTATCAAGAGCAATATAAAAATGTGAAAATAATTCGTAAGTTGAAGGCAAAGTATCAATTTTTTTTTTCGTTATCGACTTTCAGAGCCTCGAGTCTTTAATTGAAGATCTGATTTGAAATAATCAATGGTGTATTACTAAATTCAATGGTGAACTCTTCATCATTTTTAACCATGAAATTTAAAAGAAATGGACAATTCACCGTGTCCAGTAGCTGGAGGCAGAGGATAAGAATAAGGCCCAGGTGTAGGAGAAGCTAAAGAGAGAGATGATGTATGATCGAGGGAGAAGGACCTTACGCTAGAGCCAGGATGACGTGGTAATATCTGGGGGTGGCGCTCCTCTGAAATATGTGTCTACCCGGCCAGCAACATGTGCCGCCCCCATCTGTATTAGTGCCCTATGGATCCTATCATTTCTTATCGGTGGGGGTGCTATCTGCCAAGGGGGGGAAGGTACCTACAGATCACGTAGGAAAGCGAGACCTTTCTCAGGTGTGCATCTCCAATTGCAAGCGGAGACTATACCCGATGTTATCTTGGTGTTATCAATAAGATAAGAATACTTAATACCAATTTAAAAAATTCTAGTGATCATTTAATCTTATGAAATAATTATTACATAGAGTGACGCATAATAATTAATTTTTTTAAGGATTATTAAAACTTTTTATTTATTTATTTAGAAAAATAATAATCTGCCACGTGGACAATAATTATAGTGATATATGGACACATTCACACGATATATACAAAAAATACAAATAATATTTTAATATAAATATATGTATATATATATATATATATATATATATAAATTAAAAAAGTATAAACCTGAGTATTCTCTGAAAATGAAACAAGAAATACCGAATGAAGCAGCATGTTTTTTAAAAAAAAATTAAATTATCTTATCATTTACTCACTTTATTTCAATAAATAAAAGTTATCCTCGGGATAACTAAGTTTCGAATAGTTGGTAATGCGGTAGGCTAAAAAATAAGGTTATTTTCATGGAAAATTTAGTCACAAATATAGTTAAGTTATTATTGATAATTTATTTCAAATTTAACGATTATAGTAAATCATTAGATACGAAGTTATTTTTCAATTTAGAAATATTTTCTTTTGAGTAGGGAGGCGTTTGAGGTATACCATACCGCATGACAAAATATCAAGAACACAAAGACTATGACCGAAGAAGACTATGACTCTGAAATACTGTTCAAAATAAAAGTGTTTAAAAAGAGCATAATATTATGAAAATATAGAGAATGTTAACAGAATCATATATGAAATAAAAAAGTATGTTATCATATATCATATATGAAAGTAAAAGAGTATTTTCTGTACTTTCATGAGAAAATCTGATGAATCCAAAGAACAACAATTTAAAAATTACACTTGAATACATATGAATATCCATAAAAAAAATTATTAAACTGTACGAAGATAATTGAAAAAAAATATGATCAATTAATAACACTTACGTCAATAGTTAGTATACTATAGTTATAAATTTATCATGTTTCTTTTCAATTGGATTTTCAAAATCATATTTCTACTATAACCAAAGGAGTCTATCGCATACCAAATTAATATGATATATTTCCTAAAAATTTAAAAATATCCAACATAAGACAAAACTTTCAAACAACTAAAAACTATTCAATTTAAATAATCCCGTCAGTAAAATAGAAAAAAAATAACTAAATTCATTCTTCTAAAGAGAAAAATAAAAGGTTTTAAGCAGGTATTGCGAAAGACGTGAGTGGAATTTCCATCGCTGTCGAATTGGATAAAGTCCAGGGGAATTGGTGTCATTGTACACGTTACGCAGGATATTCTCTTAGCCAGTGGCCTATTCGCAATTTTTACCACAAAAGAACTTTCTTCTATTTTTAAATTTCTATTGCTTTGGGCAGGTTGAGCATCGGAATAGCCACTGAACGTGCGTCATATCTTAAAATACTTTAATTAAAAGGTACCTGATATCTGAAGGTACCTGAAGAATTGCAGTAGTGATATAAACAAGTACTGTATCTAGGTAACAATTATTAATAATATGGAAATATTTCAATTTATTCTTATACAAATTTATATATTGTTGCAGGCGGAGTAACAAGTACAACAGCGAATATTGCACACGAAATATTCGAACACCACCAAGGAACACATATATTACAGGTAATTATAGCTATAATGTAATCAAAGAATGAATACAAAAGATATTTAATTTATAGTAATAATAAAAATGTATGAACTAATATTAATCCATGAAGAATATTGACTAGCGGTAATACATGGATTTTAATTCCCACACTCAACAGTCAGGTTTATCTAGCGCCAAATGATGGACCAGGTATCCACTTAATAGAGACTTGTTGTTCCCTCGGAGTCAATCAACAGCTGATATGAATAATGAATGATATGTAATGAATCCATCGTTTTAAAAGGAGTTTCGAAATTAAAACTATCATTTAAATTAGAAAGGAGACGAAATTTGTATACGTCGTGATTGGAGGGTTAGAGGGATGTCTCCTCACTTCTTATGTCACCCAAGTAATTTGAAAACCTAAAAAGTTCAAAAATTTGAAATTTTCCAAAATTATCATAAAACATTTTACTCAATATTTAAAACCAATGTCAATACATTATAAGTTAACAAAAATTGTTAAATTTTTGCAACAGATGATTCATTTCCAATGCAAAAGAGACAGAAAAAAATAATCTTTTATAATTAATGTTCCGGGAAATTACATTCCTATTATTGAAACTGTTAAGACGTTTTGTTTCATGCATTAAATTTGTTTTTAAATTTCGTTTCGTATTTTTGGAAAATTTTAGATTTTTCAACTCATACATTTATACAACTCGTCAGATTCCGTTCGTTGGACATTTCGAAATTGTCTGACATTTGTAGTGCTGTTTTATTGAGTGATAGGGAAAATATTGCTTGAAACATAAAAATATTACACTATTTTGTACAACTCGGTTAGCTGAAATATGAATTTTTTAAGTTGAGATTTTCTTTAATTTACCACATGGTATTTCTCGTAGTGGGTACAATAGTAGAATACGAGTGAAGTAATACAGTAATGACAAAAGTAAATAAAATTGAATAACGAATTTGTTATTATTAAAATTTTTACTACCGAAATTATTTATTTAGATTTGAAATTTTACTGAAATTAAATGGAAAATATCCAATCTTGAAAAAATAATAAACAATAAATATGTCACCAAGACAAAAAAAAAAAAGTCCCTTTAAGGGAAATACTACAAACAAACAGAGAGCATAAAGTTTACAAGGGCACACCCGGTGTTTCTATTCCTTAGAAGTGGAGGGTATGAAAAGAAGATAATATATGTGTATGAGATAAGAGATTTCCTCAGGGCCCCCAGACCCCAGGAGAATTATATTCAATATTGGGGCCCCCTGGAAGAGGCGGGCGACGCTGGCTCCAGCCCAGGCCTGTCACCTGCTTCCAGATGATCCTGCCCTGGATTATCCAGCCGACTGGAAAATGATAGAGATACAAGAGAGCGCAAAATATTCCGCAGGCAGCGGTCGTGGGCGGGGCAATTTTCGCCACGCCTCCGATCGTTACTTCCCCCCCCCACAACACAGGTGTATTAACACCGCCTACATACCGCCATAATCACTCTATGTCCATTCCAAACTAACTTCCTTTATCAATAGTGTCGTATTCCAACATGGCCATATTCTTTATCTTAGCTCAAGAAAACCCGAGTAAACAGCGAAGATGTCAATTCCTTGATGTTTTTACTGTTTTTATTTAAACGCGTCAGGACATAACGGCTGAATAAAAAGTTTAGTGAAATTGTTTATTCAATATTTCAATTAAAAGGAAATCTAAAGGCATAGGTAATTTAAGGTAATGAAGCAGGTCTAAAAATAGTATGAAATATTAAGAGATAAAATAGTCTTAGTGAAAAATATTGAATGTGCTCTTTTAGAAGATTATTTTTTATTCATTTAGTTATATACCTAATGCGTATTAAATGGATTTGTTTTTAATCATTTTCTTTCTAACCAAATAATAGGAGGAAAATCTTCAAGTACCTCTCAATGCTTTTGTCGAGTTTGGTACCCGCTAAATAAGAGTGAGTCTGACGAAATTGTATGTCGATTCCTAATTAAAACCAAAATTGATTTTGATACTATTAAAAAATGGGAAAACTCTTACATCAATGGTCATTTAATTTACAAATGAACAATTAACTGATATTGTAACCCTCTGGTAGAAAGCCTACATACGTGATCTAACTTCGGTGTACTCAATGAAACCAAAATATCATTTAAAGAACTATAATTTAGCTATATTCCTGTTTTCCAATAAATAAAACTAAGAATAAGCCATATTTTTATTAATTTCATCACTAGCATCAAAAACATATTCACAATGTGACTAACTCCTTCACTTGGTTAAGCTAAAGCTATAAAATCATTTAGTACGCATACCACTATACCTCGACTAATCTAAGCTCTCCCAATTATTTCATGCAAGATCGATTTTGACAGTGGTTTCTACATGCTCTTTAGCTCACTAATGTGCCATTCATAGATGAATAGACATGCTTCATCCAACTAGTCTTATCCATCTCTTGCATACCCCTGAACAGAGGAATTTTCTTCTTGATTTTTTCTATTCCACGAGCTAGGAACGCAGTAAGGGAATAAAGCACAGATTAGAACTACCCAAGGAGTTCAGTCGAACCGTACCTACAATCTAACTGTTCTCTTTCTCTTTTCAGGATTAAAAGCCATTTACTTCTTCTCCATTGCCATGAGATAATAGATCATAAAATGCTTACAATATTTTGCTGCATTACGACATATTCTCTTTCAATTACCTGAAACGTTAGTGGAGCAATTTCTCGAGTGTTCAAGTAATACTAACAGTTCCTCGATAAAAATAAAATAGAGCTTATTTTTTCATTGATCCATACTGGCATGTTTCTATGAGGGACTTGAGCAAAATATTTACTTCAAACATCTAAAAAAAAAAAAAAGATAACCATCAAAACTTAATAAAATATCGCTGAGACTTCTCTCTTTAGCGATTCAATATAACATTCACCATCAATCGATTTCACCGGTTACTCTAGCCAATTTATGGGTCTGGTCTTTCTTATACCTGTTGGCCTGATTTCATGTTTCAACGAAACATATTTATCAGTATGTCTCTGAGGTCATTTCTTTCAATTTCAAGAAATATCTTAAAGTTTTTGTTTTGTTTTTTTATTGAGAAAAAAAAACATTTTGCCTCAATTAAGGGCATTGAGTATTTATGATGAATGAAGTACAATCATAGTCTTAAAGTTAAAAATCTGTGTGGTGTATGACTGATGGAATGAACGAATAAAAAAATAATTGTATTCTTGGAATACAGTCTCCTAAGAATAATAACAGATTTCCATGATTATGTGCAATAGTTTGACTTGGAGTTTACAGAATGATGCTTAATTGACTGTTAATATTATTTGTAATTCCACAATTGATTGAATAATACAGTGTACAGAAGCAAGTAGATTTTAAATGTTTGCGGAAGTTTGAATATGAAGTAGGTGCTGGAATAGCAGTTGTTTGAAGGAATTTGTGGACGAGGATTGACGTATAGAGTTAGGTAGAGAGTTCCAAGAGGATGTAGCACAAATGACGAAGGATTTGCTGATGGAAGTTGTTTTACGGGAGGGGATATATAAATCTACAGGTTGAGATCTGGTAATGAGAGAGTGAATAGAGAAATACAAAGTAACGAGTTTTAAGACGTAGCGATGGTTTTTTAGTTCTAAGGACTTGGAAAAAGATAACACCAAGAAGGAATTGCCTTCGAGAAATAGGATAAAGCCACTCAAATCGGTGTACCAGCAGGAAACATGAGAACGCCTGGGAATCCCAAAGTTGTATCTTATGAAGCAATTCATGAGACTCTTGAGACTCATCTCCAGATGGCAGACAGTCCTCCATACACCAAACGAATTGAAGAGAAACAAGGGATTTACAAGGAACTGTCTGGTTTTTAGAGTAATGCAGTCACGGAATCTTAGGAATTGCTTAGGGGCAGTTATGGATTTTCGAGTAATCTGGTAAATATTGTTACTTCAGAAGAGTTTCTGCTGAAAGGTTACTCCTAAGTTCTTGACTGTTGGAAAGAAATAGATGGAACGGTTATTGAGGTAAAGTAGAGGAAATCAGGGAAGGCAACTAATGAGATCTCTGGACCCGATGAGAATTGGCTTAGCTCTTTCTGTATTCAGCGATGTACGTATATCTTTTTGAACTTACTTGATGAACTGCTCTTAACCAGGAATGCTCAGATGGGGGTTAATGACGCAACTTGCGCCATCAAAATTTTTGAGGGGTCATAATTTGACTTGTTTTTGAAGTTTTGAAGGAGCTTACTTCGAAGGAGTTATGAGTTTTCGGACTGAAAAGTTTCAGACTAAGGGACAAGAGGAAAACATGAAACAGTTCGCAGCAAGTGTAATTGAATATGATCTAGGCTTTTTCTATTTGTATTTTTCTAATTGTATATGATTTAGGCTTAACATAGTGCACTTACTGAAGATCTCTCAGTTCAGAATTACTGGACCTTTGGGAATTGTGAAATAGGCAAGAAGGAGAGAATTTGGGTTACAATCAGTTACACTAACAAGTGGGGGTAAGATCTAGTTTTCAAATATTTTTTTCGCACGAAAAGAGAGGAAGAAGAATATATTTTATGTGGTGTAATATTTATATTTCTATAATAAAGTCCTATAAAAAGGATAGTAAAGTGGCACAACTGATACAATCTACTTTGGCACAGGTTCTATATATGACCACCAGGATGTTTCCTCTTACACATGTTCCTGGTAGATCACAATTATGTCTTTTGGTTTGGTATGTTGTTTGACAGCTGGACGCTTTTGGTGATGATAGGGATCCAAGTATTAAACAAGTTCTAATGTTTGAAATTTTGATTTTGGCCTATTTTATTCTAGTTCTACTGCATAAATAGTTAGGAAAATACCATCTATTCATTAAGATACATTTATAATAATTTAATAATGATATTAAAACTCTGTTACAGTCCTTGGATGGCTTTGCCTTCGCCCTCGGAATAGATGGAAGGTTCTTGTACATATCAGAAACAGTTTCGATCTACCTCGGTCTTTCACAGGTAATTTATTATCTATAATATACTTATACTATTATATATTTATATGGGTAAAATGGAATGATTTTTCATTCGCAAAAAGTAAAAGCCAATTGTACGGCACTTGGAAGAATGGAACCGACTACACATGTTTTCAGTAAGCACAAGAAATTTGAAAGTTTTCAAATAATATATTTTATTTTACCCAAAATATTGCTAATGTATCAATCGATTGATCAAAAATTAACTTTTTTTTTTATAAATAAAGAGACAAATTCAGTTTCCAATACTGGTTTTAACATTGATTTTCTATTCAAGATACTTGAACCAATAGATTGTTCTTTTATGTTAAAACTGCAAGGAATTAACCCATTCAAACGACTTCTAACCTAACAGAATTTACAGTCCTATCTGTTAATTACTCAAAGAAAAAAAAATGTAAAAACACTGCAAATTAAAATTTGCTTAAATAAAACTATAATCACTAATTAATTCCATAGTTACGAGTATGATCATATTAGTAAATTTATAATAAGCACAAAAAGAACTAATCAGATATCTAATTAAACCCGTATAAAAATTTTTTTTTTTTTATTTTAATGAAATTTACAACTGTATTACATTAAAAATACAACAAGTAAATGTGGTATCATGACATGTAACATGAAGAGAAATTCCCCATTGGTAGAACTCAAATTAAAGTTCAATATTAAAAGGTCACGAGGCCATCTTCTTTTCAGACGCCTCGGAGGGTTATTAGGGATCGAGGAGGAAGCAAGGTTTGAAACGAGAGGGTTCGGATAGTTCTGCAGATTGTCATGGAAGGATAGATATCTGGATTGGTGTGTAAAATTTGAATATGAAAATAAATAATTTTGTTTTAAATACATATCCGGTTTTAGAACAATAATAATAAAGACTTTTAATATAATTTTTTTTATTGTAAAATTCAAATATTGTATAAATCACATGGGTTCAAAAATCTTACTTTATCAGTTAATTTCTCTTTTAATGATTCGAACTTTAAAAAATCCTTAAATATTTTCAAGTGATGGCATAAAGTAGTGTTAAATTACTTTATAATGTCATTGCTGCAATCGTACTCATACTGTAGAAAATATTTATGTAGGACATGAAAACAAGTTATAAATTGGACGGCGGCGGGATGGCCGAGCGGGCTAATGCGTGTGCACAGCGCCGCGCGTTGCCCGGCAACCTGAAAAATAGTACGAGTTCAAACCCCGTTACCCAGTAGGAATTCAGCATAATTCTCCCGGCATATATATATATATATATATATATATATATATATATATATATATATATTTATGTAGCTTAATATATATGTGCTAGTGGACGGTGCTGAGACTGTCGGTGTGTCCCTGGCCTGATCGAAGTTCTATTTTTTAAAATTAAAGCTTTGAAGAGGATCCCATGGTTGACTAATAAAAAGAAAATACCGGGATCGAAACGTCAATAAACAGAAGAAATGAACATTCAATAGTTTATTAAATTATAATTAAATGACCTTATTCCCAATTAAAATAGTTAAGTTTAAATTGATATATATATATATATATATATATATCATCTTTCTATTAGTTGAAAAGTAAGGTTTTTTATAAAAGTTGTGATTTTTTTTAAAATGTGCTAGTTCTGACCATGGAGCGAAGTTCTGAAAGTATACGAATTTTTCTATTCCAAGATAGGACAAATATTTCTATTAGAATCATTTACTACTGAGAAAAAGGGAGGATTCGAAGTTTATTCGTTACTCGTAATTCCCACCTCCAGATAGTTCTTTTTGCCCCTTGGGCGGTGGAAAATGAAAAGAACTTTCACTATTATAATTCTCGGGAGCAGGTCCATTTCCTTGTTATTTCCCTCACCGTTCCAGTTAAAAAATGTACCTTTATACTTTAGCCCTACCCTATAGGAATTCGTGATGAGATCGGGGAGGAAAAGATAATTCTGTTATGACATTTCTTGAAGGCACCCTTTGAAAGGGCCAAGCCCGAATACAAAGTGGCTGACGTGTGAATGGAGGAACCGCAGCCTCCCCACCCCCCTCCCCTTCTTGGTTTGCCTTTAATTAAAGAGTAACTCTCAACCTCAGCTATTATCTCTGTATCTGATTACTTAAAGCCATATATTACACTTCAGAATTTTATATATATATATATATATATATATATATATATATATATATATATATATATAATAGATCAGCATAAATCAGTCAATCGATCAATGGAATTGGCGCTGAGCTTAAGTTCTTTCCACGTGCTTATGGGAAACTTCGCGAACTTAAAAAAAAGACTGAAAAACAGACATATACTTTTTAAAAAAATTAAGAATAAAATCCTAAAGTGTTCCAAATAAATATATAATCTGACTATATAGCAAGAAAAAAAACGCACTTTTATAATAAAAACTAAAATATTTTCGATCCAAAATTTCAAGATTAATAAACAGAAAATATTTTAATTAAATATGAATGTGTATTTTTTTCCTAGGAATTTCTGTATTTTGTTTAAATTTACTTCAACTTACATTCCTTTTGTTTTATTACAATTTTGCGTTTCTTTCTTATTATATCGTATAGATGATATGAATGTGCCTCAAACAGCTCAAAAACTAAAATGACGAAATGTATTATTTCTTAATAAAAAGATTTTAAAATAAAATAAACTCCGTTGTACATTAATAAAAATATAGATATGAACTTACCATCGACCAGCACATATCTTTATTAAGGCAAGTTCTTAAACCCAGTAATGAGTTTATCGATGTCCTCGGAAATTCACCAGGCTCATATTTTATTTTTTGAGGAAAAAATAATATTCTTAAAAAGTTAAACTGGACAAACCAATGGCTACCAGAAATTATCTATAAGTTGAAATATGATATAATTAAAACATTAAAAAGAAAGAAATTCACTACCACCTTTCCCGATCAATAAACAATAAACTTTGGCCTATGGTACGAAAAGGCCAGAAAAATATTAGGTAACAATAAAGTCGTAATTTTTATATATTGCCATTTTACGCACATCAAGACGAGTTAAATTATTTGTTTAAAAAATTCACATGGATTCAAAGAGGAAAAATTGAGATCCCTAAGAACACACTTCACAAACAGTGATTCAGTTCACATGCGAATTTTCAATTCTCAAACTTTTTCAATCTTTGTGGCCATTTCCGAAATCTTGAACATGTTTTAGAACCAAGGAGACCCACGCGCCCTCTGCTATTGGGCTTCGCTTACTCCGCTTACAGCTTAATCCACCCCTGCTCATTCCGAATTCAAGCTCATTTGATCGGGAGGATGCAGTTGAAAGTACCCAATTATAGCGGTAATGAAAAATGTTTATATATTAGAGACACTTAAAACTTCTAAAGTCTCCTCATTTGGAGGAGGTAGCGTAAAATGGACATCGCAAGAGTCCATTGGGAGAAAATACGGTGAAAAGGAATTCATTCATTCAAGCACTCATTAACCGTCTCGACCACCCTTAACGAAATTATGGCACATGATTATTTAAAACATGTACTAATTGAAATGAGAATCCATATCCTCCCAGCTTTCCATAGTTTCATGACTGTCTCTCAGAAACTTATTGCCTTTGAAGAGGCTACTTTGGCTCGGCTCCAGTTCAATGCCCTCGATGTGAGCAATGACACAGTTAGCTGGCACACTTATTGTAATAAATGCTGCCCTATTCCGTACAAGTGGAACCAACTCAATTGAAAAACAGCCAACTATTCAAAAGCTGAATTCATAAATCGTTCAACAAGGATTCTTTCTCAACTTTCTTATAAACTATAGGTAACGGAAATGTATATTTATGTTGTAGTTATAATCACAAAGTTCGCTCTTAAATAAAATCTCATTCTTGTCGTCACTGAACAAAGTGGATAGTTTTTTTAACATTCACCACAAATCTAATCATCCAAAAACCGATTAAATCATAAACTAAAATGATAAGTAGATAGTCTAATATGAATCAAATATGCAAATCCTTTGGATTTAACTGAACAGCATCTACTACAGAGAAGTGCCAAAACGCTAAAAGGTTTTATACGTCTGTCCCAATTTAAAGTATGATGATTTGGCTTACAAATAGTAAGATTAGGGAGAGCACACTACAGAGACCAAAGGTGAGATCTCCAGGTGTCTGGCCTGCTCACGTCAAAGATCACAAAGGTACGCCCGGTTCCTCTTGAAATTGTTGTAAGATGAAAGAGAGAGAAAAGGAGAAACCTGGATAAATGAGTAATGTAAAAAGGATCCCTGAAGTTGAAGAGAAGGGAAGGTAGTACTGATGTATGAGGGTGTCCTGATCCCACATTCAGGACCTGCTCAGTATTCAGGCAGCACTGTTTCCTGTCTGGCATCCCAACATCCTCTCCGCCGTCCCCAAGATATACTCTCTTCCCATATACCTTCACACCGTCACAGGTAGCGCTCTTCGACGGCATCGTCATAGAGTGTCACACGATAGGCAGGAATTCCTAACAGCCTTGTAAACTATGTAAGCAGCTCTTTAATGTCCGCATTACCAGCTCTTCTTGCAGGAGCCAATAGAGTCGTTAGTGTACAATAAAGCTGTCGTAAGGTTACATCACGCCAATGAAAATAAAATATCCTAATCTTCCTGATTACTCGGTGAAACACTCAACTTTCCAAGCACATACAGAGATAATGGAACCCATTGGAACTCATGTCAATCCATCGATAACAGAAAACAGACAACAACAATAATAGTTTAAAAAACAAAAATTAATTATAATTATTTAATAAGGATTCTTCTGGAACAACGTGGCCTCTTGTAGAATAATGCCTTTATGTAACGCAGGATGAGAACGTAATTTCGGAACAATTACACTTTAAAAGGGATGGAAAGATTTCTAAATGTCGGTCAATTCGCAACCACAAATGCATCCATAGAACGATTCGAAATCCATTATAGAACCATCTAGGAAGTAAAATTTCATAATCCGAGCCTAATCAACTCCAACTCT